AAAAAAAAAAAAAAAAAGAGGCAAAATGACTATGCGTAACAAACCCAAAGGAAAATTTTGGCCAATCATCCAAGAGATTTGAGAATATCCATGATGTTGCATGGAATGGAATACAGACAAAATGTCTATGTGAATCAAAACAAAATACGAAAGTCCACATCCTTTAAAAATCACTCTGCTAGTGACCTAGTATTTTTTTTTTTTTGGTCATTGTGACCTTGTACTTTAATAAGTATATAGTAGGAAGTAATCTATTAGGTGTAATCTTCATCTTTTCTGTCTATGAGTAGGTGGTAACAAGATGAGATATTCTCTGATATCTTTTTTAAATGATAGATTATCGTTAATTAAAGATAAATCTTAACACAACAGTAAAGTTATTTCATTTTAATTCTTGCGTTAAAAGTTCGAATCATGAAAATAATTTCTCCGCATAATAAATAAAGTTGCGTACAACTCACTCTCTTCATATCTTAAAGTGGCGGGAGTCTAGATAAAGATGTCCTCTGGTAGAATTTGGTTTCATCAATTCAAGTAAGAACTATGGGCATTTATTATTAAGAAAAATATGTTATCAAGAGATAAGGGAGGGGGGGGGGACCTAATGTTTATGGTACCAAATTAGTAAGCTTTGTTGGGAGACATCTCTCTGTCATGTGTGTGTGTAAGATAATTACTAATTAATAGTTTTGTAATCGCTTCAACTTCTATCAATTAGTTTTTGGCTAAAAAAATAGGTACGACGTGGACAAATATTATTTATGAAATGCAAAAATGTTGACAAATATCATTATATTTATACTGGATAATCGAAAATATATTCATTCAATAGTATATGTCAGTGTAGAGGATGTCTAATCCTAATAGACTCGTTCGGTAAACGTATTAAGAGGGGTTAAATATTAAATTATATTATTTTTTATTTAATCGGTTCCAATATTTTATTTAGTAGGCAAATTTGATACCGTTTTATTTTCAAAAACGTATACTTATTATATATTTTTTATACGATAAATCTGTATTATGAAGTTTTTTTAATACCACCAAAAGAGGTGGTATTATAATCCAACTCAAACGTATTATTCTACATATTTACTATTATAACCCACCAAGTGATAAATTCAAATTGTCATCAATCTAACAAACACTTATTAAGGATATTTTTGTTAATTCAACATTAATACGATGAAATAATTCTCTAACTAAACAACTGATTGAATTAAATAATTACTCTCTAACGCTTATATTGTATATTGTCAAACACTAGATAAAATTACTTCTTATTTTAATATTATATTTAATTTTATTTTTAATTCATCTGTATTATATTAGACTGTATTATTTTATCTAATCCATCTATTTTTAATACGGCAACCAAACGAGCCCAACGTGTAACTCAAGTGATAATTAAATCAGATGTCCTAATTTCAAATTTTGACATTAAATCACCCAGAATGTATTAGTGAAAGCTGACTTACATACAAAAAGTCTTTAGACCAACCACAAACTTCAAGCTAATTTGGGCTAAAATGGCACCAATCGTACGAGCTGCCAATTGATTGTCGATAGTTTCGAGCCCATGCACGAAGATTTCGTGGACTTGAAACTGGGCCCATATATAGAAGACACAACATAAATGTTTACATGATCTGCTTTGAGGCAACAATGTTATATACACCAAATTTTTAATTAAATTTTGAATTTTAAATCAATGTTAATTACAAGATCAATAGGTTCCACCTGGTTGACAACATTAAGGAACGTTCACTCTCTTTGGTGAGTTGCCTCTCGATAGGAAAGGGCTCATATTTACGACACCTCTTGGACATTCATTCACTTACTAAAAGCTTACTGACTTACTTTCTGAAGTCCCATTTTCAAAGAAAGAGACTCTTATGCGTTTGTGCTCCGATAACATGAAATTATATTCTAATAGAATTATGAAATATTTTAATAGATTAAAAAAAATGTTTAGACTCTAGATCACATAGAGTGGAAGCATATACAAGTGTCAACATAAAAAAAAAATTAAGAGTGGGAGTACTTGAGAGTGTCATATTATATGCATACAAACGCGCATTCACCCCAAAAGTTTAATACAAATAAAATATTAAAATTAATATTTCATGCACAATATCAATAAAAATTATTTAATTTTTAAATTTAATTATATGTTGATTATAAAGTCCTAAAATAATAATTATAATTATTATTATTATTATTTTTATTTGATACATATCTTTAGATATGAGTAAATATTTTCTAAATAAAATTTGAGTAATATAAATAAGTAAAATTTATGAATTAAAAAATTAAATTCATAAATTTTATAAAATGGGAGTAAGAATTAGTGCGTGAAACATGAGAAACGTTAACAATTTAGAAGTATTCTGCGATTAAAGTTAGACCCACCCGACTAGATAAGGTGAGAGAGGAAAAGGACAGAAATGCCCTTGGAGTCTGTTTTGATTGCTGCTGCAATAAAGGGGGTGTGGGAGTTCAGAAATGGGGCCAACAATCCACATGGTTTAATTAAGGTGAGATTTGACTCTTCGACCAGACACATACTTTTCACACACACACAAACACAAACACACTGCTGGCCACCAAAGCAAAACCAATTATATGGTGTGTCTGTCTGAAGTAGTACTTGAATATAATCAAACATTGTCTCAGTCCCAAGGTCTTGTCCCCACTCCCACATTTGAGCTGTTTTCACACTCCAAATTACTCTGCATTACATATACATGCGTGTCGTGTTTTTCCTACGCAAGTGGTGGAGAAAGCCAACACGGAACCTTTGGATGGCAACCGCTCCGGTCGTCTTCATTGCTGGACATTGATGTGAATCTTTGGATTTATTTTTTGTAATAATATATTTATAAAAATATAATAATACTTGAAATTAAAATCAATCAACCATAATGGGTAACTTAAGTGATAAAAGATACGAACTGTAAATCTAAATGTCTTGAATTTGAATATTGATAATTCTTTAAAGTCAGGCTATGATTGTTTTATTTCTCATAAATATTCTAGTTTCAGTGTAGATGATTTGTATTTGATTGGATCGAGAAGAGAATTAATCGAAATACGCATAAACTAGTTCACATGTCCCTGACCGTCGAAAAAAAAAAAAATTCAATCTACATTCAATTTTTTAACTAATGGTAAAAAATTCTTGTCCCCCGAAATAACATATTTCATGTACAATTCTCAATATCAGACAATTCAACTAATCGACTCTTTAACACTAGAAAATATTATTTTTTTTTTTAATTCAACAATCAGAGATATCTAAATCAACGTATATACATCTTGATACTAGACAACCCACTTGACATACCTTTCTCTTATTTTCTTGATGTCTACTTTAATTTTAATTAAGTTATGTAATTAAACAAAAAAATAAAATTATTTAACCCAAAAAAATTCAAATTAAAATTTTTTGAATCCCCTTTAATTGAATCGATCTTCATGTTTCTCCTCCAACTGTCCCTTATTATCAATTATCAACGCGGGTCTAACATTTTTCAATATATTATAATAAACAATATTAATTCATCAGGATTAGGGGTGTCAAAATATGTCACGTGGAGTTAATCGTATTGGGTCTATTTTGGGTTTATGTCAAAAAAATCTCAAATCCTAATTAATCGCATTGAGTTGTCTTATCCTTAACCTGACTTGACCGTTAAATAGATTACTTGAACCAAACTTATTTAATAAACGAATCATATTTCGGTTAACAAATATAACACAACCTGTTTAAGCAAAAGAGGAAATGAAATGAGTTAAGGGTTATTTTTTTTTTATTTTTTTGCTTTTATATATTTTGATAAACGGTTAAACAGGTCTACAACGAGTTAGATCATATTCAAGTTCGAATTAGGTCAACTCATATAAAATATATAAGTTAATCATGTCAAAATCGAATCGACCCAATTTTAACTAGAACTCGACACACATTTTTTCAAGTTTAAACGTATTGACTCATTTTTTTTTTTATCAATCCATTTAATTTTATGTTTGACTCATTAATTTTATGTTCAGTTTGTTTTGTTTTAATGTGTCAGGTCGAAAATTGAAACCCTTAATCAAAATTAATTGTGAGTCTTAATAAATATTAAGACTCTTGTCAATTCAATGAGTATAAATAATTAAATTACTAAATTAAATCAATAATTTTAATCCAAATAACATTACCCTATTATAAAATGGTAAGAAAACTAAAAAGCTTGACATTGTCATTAAATTAAGAAGTTATCTACAGCACCCAAAAAAGATTTTGTTAACTGAATTTTACAATATTTGCGACTTATTTTATTATATTTGTGAATATTTTTACTATTGTTGCGATAAAAACAGTAAAAACCACCCGTAAATAATTTTTTTTATCGCAAAAAATGATAACAATAATTATCACAACAATGATAAAATAACTATTAACATTTGAAAGTACAATACCAAATTGTTTTCATTGGTACCGTAGTCCAAGTCCTTAAATTAATAGCAGACCCCATAAAGTGTTCGAAAGTATTAAAAGAAATCAACAAAGAACAATAACCAACATCCATAGAAATAGACAACGATTAAATCAAAACTAACATCGACTCTCAGCTACTCACAATCAACACATCTCTATACCCTAACTAACTGACATCGGCAACATACAAACATACTCATCAAAAAAACAAACCTAAGCACACACTCATTTGAAATTTGACCAGGACACATCTAAACTATATAGCAAAGATAATCGCAAGAAATAGTTCAAAGACTAACGAAATAGAACTGTAAATCTATACGTTTTAAATTTGAATATTGACAAATTTTTAGACTTACCCTTATGTTTTATGAATTTTTTAATCCCAAAATGAATTACTTACCTTTGATTTGAGTGAAAAAAAATTTAATTGAACTATTATGTGTAACGAGGGTCGAAAAAAAAAAGAAGTAACCAAGGTGCAGCAATGACCATTCTGGCTATAAATTATCGTGTCCATACTACTGCTGCATTACCACCAACCACCAAGATAGGAATTCACGCACACAATCTTCTTCCACTGGATTGCCCTAACTGAACTGAACTTACCTGGAGCAAGAGTCTCGTCAACAAAACTAACAGAGACATATACATACATATATAGAAGTACGTACAAAGTAAAAAGATAAATTCTCTCCCGATTCTCTGCGACTGAATGCAAAAATACCTTCCATGGCAAATGATCTTGTTCTTTGCAGGATTTCTTGTTACTCATGTCCGCATTCTCACTTTTAATATCTCCCGATTAACAGAACAGTCCGCTACCAACAATTGAAAAAGCAACTTTCAGGGTCTAGTTGCTTTAGTGAATCACTTGAACCCTGATACATTTTCGGTGGCATGAAGCTAGTAATGCTATTACGCTGGGAAAAAAACCAAGAGAGATGGATAAAGCTTGTGGAATCCCGATCAAAAGTAATTTTCCGGTATCGTAATTGGACTACTTGAACTATATATGTAGCTACAGCAAAGTCGGTTTCCTTTCAGATGGACCTTCCCAGTTCTCTCTGCCCGGATTAACACCTCCAAATGAAGCACCTGCAGCTATATCAAGGCTGTTACCCATTGAATGGAGCAAAGCTGAGAGCCCACCGGTGGAGGCTCCACTACCCCCTGGTCCCAGACCGAGAAGATCAAGCGTAGTAGGCCCTTCAGAAGGAAGCCCTAAACAAAACCCAGATGCCACCGGATTTCCATCCCGCCTAGCATGACCATTCCATTGTTTGGTGGTCGTAGTGGCGGAATTGCGATCTTGGTGATCAGATGAGGGTGGAATTGCCAACCCAAGACCACGGAGGAACGAGGAATTGGATGCCGTTGAGCCCATTTGGGCCGCTTTTTGGAGTAATGCTGTTGCAGACAAGGCGGGTTGTGAAGATGGAGCATAATGTCGGTGGTGGTCTTGGTCGGTTCTTGGGAAAATGGAAGAGCCGTTGTTGGAGAGATAGAAAGAAGAGGACAGAGAGAGCGACATGGGTTCCATTGTGGTGCGCTCGGAGCCAGCCATGGCGCAGAGTAAGTCGGAGTATGGAGACGGTGGTTGCTGTGATGGCTGCGTTAGTCCTCCACCTTCAGTTGGCGATGAAAATATACCAGCAAATACTCCGGTGGTGCTACTTACATTGCCGCCAGAGGTGGTGCTAGTCCCACCGGCAGTGGCGGCGGCGGCGGCGGCGGATAAGCTCGTGGTGACTGGCTGCTGCGGTAAAAGTCCCGTCTGATTCTCCGGCAACTCTGTAAATTAATCAAAAAAGAGAACAAAGAAATAGAGATAATAAAACAACAATAAATTATTATTTTTTATCTACCAAAAGGCTTTGGAGATCATTATCAAGAAGAAAGAGAGAAAGCTTTTCACGTTAATCCCTCTTTTAGTCCTATCACGCAAGGGCGTGAACAAGAGAACTTCTCAGGCAAAAGCAGACTGCAATCATGGCGTCCTTTTTCTCTCACCCAAATCTCTCTCCCTCTGATTATTTCGATTCTTGAGCTCAATTTTTAACTACTAATTTATAGCATACCAGTCCAGAGACCCCCCCCCCCCTC